TTACCTTTACGATGAAAAACATTTTTTAGTAACCCTGACTCTAAGAATTCTCGTTTGTTTCGCTATGGGTCAATAACTTTTGCTTTTTCTTTATAAATGTTTCGTTATCAACAGCAAGGAATGTCAATTTACATTGTGTGGGCATATTCTCCAACCAACGATACACTTGGACAGCACGCTGGTAATAATAGAGGTTCTCAACAAGTGACACTTGTACCAGCTGGTGTGACTCCGACGACCCCAACCCCGACAGCAGGTAAAAGATTAAACCGCATTGCTCTGCGGAAAAACCTCGGGGACTTCTTCTAGACTCGTTTTAATTGCCACGGTAGTCTTGCAAAGCTGAAAACTATTTAACCACCGAAGAACAATTTTAGATCCCTTATCTACATCTAATAGGAGCCAGAAGCTAGGAAGTGATTATTAAACTAAGTACCATTAAATAAAAGGGCTAAGTTTCTAAAGAAACTGTGGTGCTACGTCGGTGGGAGTAACAAGAGAATTTTAGTTTTATCAACTGAGTTGATTAAGTAAATTGGCCAACGTAGACTTTCAAAGTTTCGAGCGTTGAAACTCTTTAACGGTAGCCAATTTACTTTACCAACTCAGTTGATAAAACCAAATTATCTAAGTACCATTATTTAACTTGACTCGTTCATTACTTTCAGCTGTAGCGACTGTTTCTATGCCAGCCATGCCTGTGCAACCAATTTTTCTGAATCTCCAAAATGAAAATTATAAAGTTTCCTGGATATACAACAGTAGCATGGACACGATACACTTTACAGTAGAAGTGAGAGCTACAGGATGGATTGCGTTTGGTGTTGCAACAACAGCTCCGACTGGCATGGTGGGATACGATGTGGCCATTGGGAAAGTTGAGGGTGGAATAGGAAGCTTGGAGGTTTGTTTGCAATAGAAAATGAAGAGCTACTGAGTGAACTACAGGAGTTGTCAGACAATGGCTCTCGTTTATTTTCATAATGAAAGTTGAAAACTCTCATGGAAAGGGAAGAAGGTATACCCTTTCATTTGATTGGCTGTGTTGCCTAAGTTTTGTCACTTATCGCTCTGTATCCGACAGCAATGATAACACAAAAAAAGAAGCGGTAGACCATCGAGAATTGACTTAACGAGACAAATTTACCCTATCCCTCCCCCAAAGCGGCTAAATCAGTGGTCAATTTTCCCCTGGGGTAGTACGCTGACAATTTACATGTCGAGTGCAAATATACGCTACCCACTCCCCCAATATAGGTAAATTGTAATGCAAAAATTTTTTTCTCATTAGTCACGAACTGTTTTGCTTCGCTTCGGCCAAAGTCCCTCAGCGCTACAAAGAACAAAAGGACTATTGTTTAATACTTAATGTGAGAAGTTGTGCCGGAACAGTAGACCATTTCTTGATACAATCCATCAAACTTCTGCCTTTTTCCTAGGATCATCAAACAGTCGGTTTCCAAGCACCTGACAGGGATGCTAGTCAAGACTGGATGTTGACCTACTCTAGTGAAAATAATGGTATGACAAAGTTGAAGTTTTATCGCAAGCTCAACACCAACGACGAAAAGGATGTTGTTATCCAGGTAATCAATGGTAGTATAATGCACCCCGTAAAAAAGTTGGCTTTTTCTTTACCTTTACGATGCAAAATACTTCTGAGTTACCCTGACTCTAAGAATACATACATACATTCATACATAAATACATACATACATACATACATACATACATACATACATACCTACCTACCTACATACATACATACATA